AATGGAAGTGGCCGATATTGAAAAATACTACAAATTGCTGGATAAAGCTGGACTGAAAGACAACACAGAGGTACTAAGCTGGAAGCACAGAAACAAGCTCTAAGCACAAGATCCATAGAAGCTGGGCTCTTTCATACCAGGCAAGACCCCAGGTGCAGACTGTGCAAATATAGCTCTGATACGATCCAGCACATGGGTGCACAGGGTGCAAGATGCTAGCACGCAGGGCATGCATGGAACGCCATAACCTTGTGGCCAGCATAGTATACAGAAACAATTAGGGCATGCATGGAACGCATAGAGGCTGAGTATGGCCTGGAAGTCAAAGGGTCAAAGGATACACTGAGAATGACCGAGCTAAGATCCAGTGGGGCTTCCAGACAAACTAGCGATGGCCAAACTACTGGAATAGTAGTGTTGGGCAAGCAGAGGAAGTCAGCTAGATGTAACATTAGCAAGTGATAGCAACATCAGGAAGAAGAAACATCACAAACTCAAGAAAATTAAAGAGCTGAGAGAGGAGCTAGAGAAGATATGGAGGGTGAGGGTAACAGAGCCCCCCGCCCAGGAGAAATAAAGATACTGCACAGGCCCCTCAAGCTCCAAGGCCTCTGGTAGAGGACAAATGCATGAAGGATAAGAGACCATCTGAAGGGGTGAGTGGGGAATTATACATACACACACACACACACACACACACACACACACACACACACACACACACACACTTATTTCTCACTAATTCTCTAGATCTAGATTACTAAACTAGTAATCTGGCATACTGGGTGCCCGATGCCTGATGGACTGACACACGTGTGGGCTGATGGGTATATATATAATGTTTTAAATATAATTTGATATAGGGGCAGCATGGTGGCACGGTAATTAGCACTGTTGCCTCACAGCCTGAGTTCAATTCCCCCATCAGGCCAGGGTCTTTCTGTGTGGAGTTTCGATGTTCTCACGGTGTTTGTGTGGCTTCTCCCAGGTACTCCCACACTCCAAAGACATGCAGTTAGTGTAGATGGGTTAATTGGAAACACTAAATTGCCCACAGGTGTGAATGTGGTAGTGAATGTGAGTGCGACTGGTTGTCTCCTGTTTATATGTTAGCTCTGTGACAGACTGGCAACCTGTCCAGGGTGTACCCTGCCTCTTGCCCTAAGACAGCTGGGATAGGCTCCAGCGCCTCCCACGGCCCTAAAAAGGATAAGTGGAAGTGAATGGATGGATAATTTTATATAATTATATAGGCTATGTGCCAGCTTGAAGGGCTGTTGTGCACCAGCACTGACAGCAACCCGTTCTTTACTTTTCATTAGTAATGCTGAATTGCCCAACCAAATCACTTAAAGCAACCAGCCCCATCCCTACCGTTCTTTTCAGAGAGAAAAAAATAAAGTAAAAATAGATACAGCAAAGTCCTCACTGCTGGTAGCATCAACTATAGAGAAGTGCAGGATAAGGGACAGCAGAAAACAACCCACAAGCACAGGTGCATATTAGATTTATCAAAGTAGTAGTAGTAAAAAGAACTTTGCACCACCTTAAGGTAAGGGTAAATTTAGTTTTATTTCCAAAATATATATAAGTTCAGTGGTTCTTCCTATTACAAAAATATAAACGACAATAAAATCAGTTTTGCAAGGCTGCTTTTCTAATAACTGAAAGAAAACACAACATAACGTACCTACCTAACTGTTAATGAAAAGTATTTATTTTTTCCGAGCAAACATTTGGAATTTCTTTATTAGTACTGCTAACTTAACAGGTCAGGCTTAGTAGATTACAGATAGATTAAAAACATTAAGAATAATGTACAAACCTTCATTTTTATTTTAAGGTTTTGATTAAAAGCATTTGCTAAAAGCAAAAAAGTAAATAAGCACAAAAGGGTATTAGCGCAAGTATACTGACACACATGGCCTACATATTACACAAGGGAATACTTACTTCTGAATAGTTTTGTAAGATCTATGAAATAATGTAGCATTAGAATAAAACCTACATGTAGTATGCAGAGGCTGGGTAGAGCAAATAGGGACTGAGTTTACGATCTTCTGATGGAAAGGTGCTGTTCTCATGAGCCTGACGACGGTAGTACCTGCGGAGAGCAGGGCTGCCAGGGTGGCATTGTCTCACATGGAGGAAGTACTCATCAGGCCGGCTTGATGTATAACCACAATCCTCACATACAAAGATCTTGGAGCGTCTCTGGCGGTAAGCATACTGCTGATGTACGCCATGAATCTTTCTCATATGCGACTCCAGAGAGCAACGCTGTGTGAAAGCTTTCTCACACAGCTCACACTTGTAGGGACGGATACCTGTAGCAGTGAGAGACAAAAGACAGTTTCTCCTTTAAGCTTTCCACCAAGGCTGACATTGTCAGAGAGCTCATGTAATGACTGAACGCAGATTTTCCATTTATTTAAATTTTTTGTTGTTGATTTCCGTTAATGCCAGTCACTTTAAAGTTACTGTAAATCCCACAAAGGAATTCTTGGAGATTTCAACCAATTGTAAAAAGCTTGGAAAGAAAGTGACTGGACTTCTTAAAGTTTTTTTTAAAACGTTTCATCTGTCATCCACAAAGCTTCTTTAGGTTTAAAACCAAATGATGGAGACTCCCAGGTATTTAAACCCTAGCGCAGGGGTGGGGAACTCCAGGCCTCAAGGGCCGGTGTCCTGCAGGTTTTAGATGTGTCCTTGAACCAACACAGCTAATTTAAATGGATGAGAGGTGAACGGTCTTTAAAAATCTTGAAGATGTCCAGTCACTTTTCTTTCCAAGCTTCTTAGATTACCATGAACTGGATGACTAAAAACCTACATTTCAATCAAGTGCAACTAATGATACACAGCAAACCCATTAATCCCTTAATTATATTATCAATAACATATATAATAAAATGTACTCCCTTGTAATAAAATTGATTGTGATTCTTTTAATTTGATAAAGGTTAGTGGATTCAACAAAATACATTTAGAACATTCCTAACCTGTGTGTGTTCGCATATGTCTCTTTAGGTCGAAGGTATCATTGAATCCTTTGCCACAGAACCGACAAGGATGCCTCTTCACCAAGCTGTGGCACTTCAAGTGGCGGGTTAACATGCGTTGTAGAGGGAAGAGCTTGTGGCACACTGAGCAAACAAAGTCACCTGAGACAGGGGAAGTACGGGGACGTGGCTGATGGGAAGAGAACTACTGAATAAATATGACAAAACATCACTGTAACAATCATCTTTTCTCTGCTCTGTTTAGCTTACAAGTAACAAACAGGATTACAAATTGCTAATACATGGTACAGTGTACCAAGACACCAGTACACCTTCCATGCAAATAGTTCCTTTATAAGCCATTAAATCATAACGAGTGGGTACGGAGTTCTTGAATTGATCCTATATATACACATTTTATCTGTGCAGATAAAATATTGCAGCCCCAATAATTAGTCTAGTGCATCACCCCTAGCTTTTTCCATCTTTCAGCAAGCATGGCATAAAAAAGCAGTTTTTTTAAAAAATAGATATATTTTCTTAAATAGAGCTAAATTAATCTCACTGTATAATATTAGCCTTAAAAGTTTAATAATATTATCAAGAATGCATCAAGAATTTTATTTTTATCCTTTCCACAGCAGTTCAAAAGCAGATATGTACAATGCAATCAACAGACCTATATGAATAATGAATTTCTTGGCCACTAAAGGGAGTACAAATGTCAGTCTACTGAACTCAAACTTGATTGCACAGAAGACCAGTGAATAAGAAATGGATAGTTTTACAATTTGATTTGCATAATATGGCACCTTTTTCTTGATAGATTATGTTCACAGTATGAGGATCTATGAAAGCAGATGAAATTGCCAGCCATGTGTCCGTGTTCAGTAGTTAGGGTGTACTGAGAATAGCTCTAGTAAAAATCACAAAGTCAGCTGTTCTATTAATTGTCACAAATGCTTAACAGATTTTCTCTTAACAAAATAAATGGGAAGTTCAAAAGGGTTCTGTGTTTGAGTTTCTTTTCCCCTTTTTTAGTGGTTATGACCTCATAGGGCAGTATTTTTCTCACATGTAAAGTAGTTCTGTCCCTCTCCAACATATCTGGCTATGTGTATATTTCTGGACTTACCTACTGCCTTAGAGTTGTATGAAAAATATGATTTTTAATCTTAATAACTAATTTAAAGAACTTGAAATAAATGGTTGTTTTTTAGTTAAATGGAAAATGTATCAGACGTGTTACATAAACTTGGAGCATTCCACATTGTAGGTCAAATAATGAGCACATCTAAAATGACCTGAAAGTCCTCTACCAGAGGCCTGAGAGCTTCAGGATCCTGCACAGTATCTTATCTATTTGCATGATTGGACAGGGAACTCAAATGTCATTCCTTGAATCTGCTGGAGCCACTTGCCACTCCGATTACCACTGTTGCCTATATATATGGAAAAATGAATTCTGCTGTCTACCAAAACATCCTGACGGAGAATGTCTGGTCATCTGTTCATGACCTCAAGCTGAAGCCCCCTTAGGTTCCTGACCTGAGATTCTGTGGCATGACCTTAATAAGGTGGTTCATGCTCAAAAACCCTCTAATACAGTGGTTTCCAAACTTTTTTTGCTAGGCCCCCTTTGTTTTACAAGAAAAATGTTCGCGCCCCCCACCATGTGCCTTTTTTCATGTCACGCTGTGTGACACATTATTGTTTACATGAGATGAATTGCAGAATGGCGGATAGAGACAAAATACTGTTAATCTTACCATCTTCAGGTTTTACACGCTTGCATATACACACGTAGTTACTGTCCCTCCATTTAGAAAGGCAGAGGCGTCACAGTGTAATTACTTTACGTGTAGTTGTTTTTTTCCTGTGTAATAATATTCAACATTGCTATTAATACATTTTTCAAAAAATGCCTCTCTGTGCAAAATGGGTTCAAAAACATAAACAACTGTGGGATCCTGTTTGTCTGTGGTTTGGACAAGGGGAACAAATTGTGGCAGGATCAGCCTGATGTTATTTTTATCTCACTGTAACTTTACTGTATAAAGAACTAACATCTCCAAAATGTCAGGAGTAGTTAGTCATTACAAGAAGTGTTTGTGAACTAAAAATCAAGAATGTGGGATTCTGTTTGTCCGTGATTTGGAGAGCCCAGCGTGTGCTCTCAACGCAGGGAAAACCAAGGCAGGGTAGACCTACCTTGGCACTTGTGTAGGTGAAGCCAAAAGGAAGATATGCTTCACCATATTTTCTAGTCTTTGACTTGGAAGGATATTGGTTTGGAAACATATTTGGTGTTTTGGAGGAAGGAAGGTTCAGGGTTTAAGTAGTCATCATCATGGGCTCATCCGATTAGAATGAGAATAAGCAGTCAATCATTTACAGGTTTTGTCATTTTATTGAATTATGGTTAAAGGAACACACATGGACTGCTATCTCTCAGCTGCCGCCCCATGTGGGAGTGAAGAAAGAGTGAGGGGTAGGTGAGTGCAGTCCTTATATAACGAGTGACAGGTGAGCGCAATTAAGGCCAAGCACCACACCCAATCAAAGGTGAGGAACAGAAACAAGGTGCATCTGGTGAAGTGAATGTGCTAAAAGGTGAGCCTTTACAACATTTGGCGATGCTTCATATCCTGCTTTGCGTTTGTGTGTGTATATTATGAACTCAATCAATCAAAAAAAAAATGTAGTTATGGTTGTATTGAACTGAACTGATTTCCCAAGCACACTGCATCTCCCCCCCCCCCCCCCCCCCCCCCCCCCCCCCAAACATACAAAGTTGTGATGAAAGCCACATATATATATCAAGTGGAAGAGAAAAAAATTACCCAGAGAATGTAATATAGGATATTACCCTTTCCCTGATTGCTGATTGAATTCACTACCATCTCATGCTTTTGAACTGTAAGCTCCAACAAACACCTCTGTTAACTCTGTGTCTTACATCACAAAAAATGTGAGTCTGATGATGCATATATTCTAAAGGCAGTCGTCTGTGGTCCTGCCTAAGGTCATGTCCTAAGAATCCTTGCCCAAATTTCTAACCTCCTACTAGTCCACCACTAGTCCAACAGTCACATGATGCTAATAACTATGCACTAAACACTGGGTTAGTTGTTCACATTAAAGGAGTGATATTGTATTTTGGCAAGAAAACCTTTCTCACCTTTGCTCTGCTGACCAGTGCCATTGTACTGGGATGGTAGGAGCCCCGGAGCATCACAGTAGACCAGTCCGGCCTGGTATCAGCTCTTGGTCCTCCCAGTCCTGCTAAAGGTACTGGCACTATAATTCCTCTTGTTGCATCACGTCCTGAGGGGATTACTGGCTGAGGCATGGCGGCAGGCTCTTGGGTGCCAGGACTGCAGGATATCTGTTTTTCAATATTTTCACTCACTATGTAGTTAGATAGATAGACAGATAGGTAGATTACATGACTAAATTACGACATTGAAGTAAATTACTGTGATACAGACTAATTGTTACGGCTTTAACATTTTGACAGCAGAAATTAAACTTGAAGCCACTTGAAATTCATACCTTGTGGATTTTCTTCTTTCCACTCATGTTGTTCTGATTCTTTCCACTGCCATGCTCCACATGGCCCACGTTTCTTTTTCACAAGGAAAGACCTTGGCATCCTTTAAATCTGTCACTTCTTGGTTTTCTTCTATTTCCTGACCTCTCTCTTATTTAAACGTTGCCCCCTGATCCTGTCACAGTGCTAAGAGATTTAATTTGCTAATGTCCAGTGTTCTGCTCTTACAAGTGCAACCATCTCCTTTGACAGTCAGCAAGTAGAGTGTCCTAGTAAAATCACAGCACTCATTTTCATAACACTCTCTGGAAAGGATGGTGAATGTTTTAGCTCTGGTAAAGGATGGGCGGTTGGAGCGTCACTCTTAGCAGGAGTACACCTGTGCTGATTGTGCGTGTGTGCCATTTTAACTGGTCCTCCACCAGTTTTGCATGTCAGGTAGTGAGAATCCGGGGAGCTTCACATTCAAGTGGCCCTTGGCATGCAAATTTTTGGATCTGGACCAAGCCCTGGCCCCAGACAAAGGGCATGGCCTAAGTAACAGGAGCAAGCACAGTGGAGCCACAGCCTTAACTGCTAGGTAAATCAGCCCTTTCTCTTTTTTTATGGCTTTTCTGTTGCAGTTGTTTGAAGGAATTATAGAGCTTCTTTGAACGCATACAAAGGACATTCATACTCAATAAAAAAGATGGCAAGCACTTGCAGTCTATTGACTGAATTGTTTACATAATTGCATATATGATGGCACCTTTTGTGTTGTCCCCTGGTACTTGCACAGTGAATATAGGAATAATTTACACCCTCTGTAGCACTGAACAGAAAAGCATTATATGGAAATATATGACAGTGAAAAAAGTATCCAGTATCCAGAAGTCTGTTAGATACTGATTAGGCAACATGAACATATAGAAAAGATTTTCCCTCAGTCTTGTGAGAACTGTAACAACAATTAATTTTGCTGATTTACAATCCCCCTTTGCTGCAGATAAACAAATGGACCCAAATTATGCCAGAACCACTAGAAGGTAAAGAAGCAAACTGCCCACTCTTGTCCAATTGTCTGCAGTTGGTGTATGTTTAACAGGAAAATGAACTGCATGTATCTTATTTCACTGGGCGTGCATAACAAATTCAAACAGTCTGAGTGTAAGTCAGAGTCTAAACCTCATCATGCAAATCTCAGTAGAGGTCACTCCAAGACCATCAGGAGGATCATGTAGTATAAACTGTACAGTAGTACAAACACAGATCTGCTCTACCTATCTGCTACATTTATGTGCTGTAAGTCCCATATTTTAACTGCTTACTAAGCATTTATATTGTAGATATTGGTCATTGAATATGAGGGTTCAGAAAGTGATGAATGTAATGCAAATCTGGAAAACACAACTGCAAAGTCTGTATTTATTTCACTTTATAAAGGAGGATAAGCGTATATTGTCCTACTTTACTCAAGATATTAATTTGTGTAAGTAAAATACAGTGGGGCAAAAAAGTATTTAGTCAGCCACCGATTGTGCAAGTTCCCCCACCTAAAATGATGACAGAGGTCAGTAATTTGCACCAGAGGTA